AGCTCCTTTAAAAAAAAAAGTGCATGCGATTTTTATATTAGAATGTATATATGAAAGCTATTTATACTGGAGGGTTTCAGTGTTTGTGTTACTCAAGGAATCAAGAATCACTAAAGTCCACATTTGGGACCAAGGGGGAGGGGGAAAAACTTGTTTTTTCTTTACTAACACACATTGCTACCGAAAAAGCTAATGGTTATGGTACCAAAGTTTTGAATTGGTTAATATGTTAAATGATTGCTTTACTCAAAGACATAATTCCACAAAGAGCTCTTATTAACAGTTAACAGAAATGTTAACTGTTAACATAAATCCTCTTTAGATAGTTAGAGCTTCTGGAATCATGCTCATGATTTGTGACAGACTTTATGGAAATGGCATTTATTGATGTGCATTTTAGTGAATGATATATCCTCTTTCTGCAGTGTGAATAGTCATTTTTGTCACAAATAGCTAATGTCATTAGATTTGTTTTAATGGGATTCATGCAGCAAAATGAAATACCCTATTTGTATGTCAAAAAGTGTGTTGATGCCCCATTGCACAGGTGCAGTGAAGACAGTTAAATAAATGATGGTTCAATGTCAACTTGAAGAAATACTCAATAGTTCACCTTAGAGTATTTAGAAATACTCCACAGGTAGCACACAGATACTACCCAGCTGGCTCTAGAGCCTATGCTAAGAGCAATGCAGGAGAAAAAACAAAAACCCCAAAGCCCTCAGCTATCCTCCCATTTAGAATTAAACTCAAATCTGCAGCGTGTCAGGATCTTGCTGGAATGAATCAGCTGATCTGATCTGTTGTGAATTTCTGACCTAATTTTGCTGTGGACTTAGTGCTCAGGCAGAGAAAACAAGGTTAATGTGTTGATAAGGGGAGAGATTAAACAGCAGACAGTATCTTAATAACCCTCTCTAATTTTGGCTTCCTCTTGCGTTTGTGATTAATTTGAATCGCTTTTCTATTAATCATTTCAGAGGACCCCAAGCTGCTTTGCTTGCTTTTATGTTAAAATCGTGCTTCTAGATTTTCTTTTTTTCAAAGCTAAACAAGATATTCAAAAACATGGGAGTAGTTTCGGTTATAATACCAAATGCATGGGGAGAATTTTTATTCCTAGGACCATAGAATTAGACAAGAGACATTCTTCGTTGAGGCAGAAACCTAATCGACAAGGCTGATTCTAACTAAATTAACTCACGAAGGGTGTTGTATGTATTTGTTCCAGTGCTGGTGAGGAAAGTTCACATTGAAGGACGTATATCTAAAGATGCCCCTTACACAAGACAAAATGCTGTCTGTCATGCAGGCCTGCTATTTTCATTAAGGGTCACCAACTGTCCTGAGAGAATCAATATCCACTACAGAATTCATACATTTACAATTTACTTTGAATTTATGCTTGTTATGGAGACAGTCCTAGGATTTTCATCCAGTCACCTGCCTGGAAACATTAGACAGAATAGAAATGGCTCTAGTGAGGGGAAGCCTTCCCAGCCTCTTCTCACATACCTTTCCAAAAGCTATTCATCTTTTTGGTTGTTTTGCCTTGAATTATAATACCGAGATTACATTTTAAGAAGCTCAGTGTCTGTTCTATATCTGAAATAGATAGACAGATGTTGTCAAGAGGAGGGGCTATTCAGAGCAGAGCCCCATGTGGGCTCGTCGGTCAGCGTAGGAATTAAGCTGCTCTAACACAGAGGACATCGCAGCGAACAGGGAACCTTCCAGACATCCAACCCTATGGCACATTGAATGATCAAAAGGAAACTCATTGGAAAATTGAAGGTAATCTTTCTTTTAAAAGTAATTTTAAGTGTGTAGAAGTGGTTTTATAGATTTCCTGGTAGTAGTTTTTGTCTCAGGCCATTTCATATGCTCTTCAAGTGATTGGAGGATACTCTCAATCTTGAACTAAAGCTAGCCTTGGCAAAATGTTCCAAAAAAGAAGTAAGAAAAAGGAATTAATAAGGAGCAAGGATATGAGTCAGGGGACTTTTTTTTTTAAACTACTGAAAATGCAGTATTTTCCAGAGAACGTGTCTAATGTAACAAATGAAACTGCTGGGAAGAGCCCGACCATGCTAATAAAATTGCTCTAACTCTTCTTACTGGGAAGTAGCCTAAAGAAAATGTCTTCGTCATAAATTTATGGGTTGCCTTGATATTAATTTTAATTATGAATGATAGAAGGAAAATCAACATCCCCTAAAATGAATCTCTGCTTGAAACACATACCTCGAATTAAAATTTATTCCCAACAATGCTTATATTGAGAAACACACAACAAAATAGCCATGTTCACACTGGAATATGAATATAATTAACTTGCTAGGAAGCAGAGAAGAAAAAAATCAATTTTTTTTTTTTTTTGGAAAGAAAAGCACTTTCAATACGATGTGCAGTTAGGACATTTAAAAAAACAAAAAGGCCAATATTTAAAATCTATTATTTTAATTAGCAAATTGCATTTCAGTGTCTGGTTTGAGGCTAAGTCTATCACTCAGCATATCCTCATGTTCGTATAAGAAATGAAGTGGTTCAGCAGTGAATGAGGAAGCGCCTTACCAAGGAGACTTCTCCGTCTTCGACCAGGTGGATGTTTATCTGCGTTGCATAGCCATTTCATGACCCTGTGAAGTTTTTCAGTAACACTTCTGGGACATCTATTCTATGTCAGGCATTGCTCTAGGTGGGAGGATGCCGTGAACAAGATAGTCAAAAATGGTGACCCTCGTGGGATTTGCTATCTGGTGGGGCAGGGGAGGGCAGAGGCAGACAAAAAGGAAACAAGTAAACCAAGTAAATATAGAGCAAGTTCAAATGTGATGAGTTCTGTGAAAGCCAGGGAAATGGGGGCTGGGCATGTGGGAGTGGAGCTTAAAGTAGGTTGCTCAGGGAAAGGCTCCCTGAGGATGTCACATTGGAATAACAACACAAGTCCAGGAGAGAAGGAGCCCTGCATATCTCTGGGGTAACATATTTCCAGGCAGAGGGCTCACCAAGAGAGGAGGTTGTGGGGAGAGCATCCCTGGCACGTTAGAGTAACCATACTGTCCTCAGCGTGGCTTGGGCAGAGCAGAACACGAGGTGGAGGTGATTAGAAGATCAGGTCAGAGGCAATGTGCCCAGTCTCGTTAGGATGTACAGGTTATTGTCAGGATCTTGACTTTAACTCATGGTGAAATTAGGATGCAGCAAAGATGGAGGCAGGGATACCAGTTGGCAGGCTGCAAAAACAACTGAGAGAAGGAAAGACAGAGTCTAGAACAAGAGCAGCCGCACTGGAGGAGGTGAGATGTGCTAGAATCTGAGACACATTTTGAAGGTAGAGTTGACAGAATTTGGCAATAGATTCGATGCTGGGTGTCAGAGCAAGATAAAAGGATGACATTTCCATTAACTGGGAAGAAGAAGATCACAGAAGAAGTAGGTTTGGTGATAAAGTTTTGGGACATATTATGCTTTAAATGTCTATTAGTCTTCCCATGATTTGTTAGAATTTCATGTTACAGATCTGATCATTTATAGGTAAAAAGTTGAAAAATTCTGTAGAAATTTGAAATGTTTGTCTACAACTCTGAAAGTGTTACATAGATGTAAATTTGAAGAAGGAATTTTTTATTATGATAACAACAATGCACGTGAGATCGACCGTCTTAAATGTTTGCATGCACAGTAGGCACAGTGCTGCACAGAAGATCTCCAGAATTTATTCAGCTTGCATAATTGAAACGTTATACCCACTGAGTAGCAAATGGAGGGCAAGCATCTAGATTAACCAGAGCAAATGGACAATTGCCCGGAGGCCTCTGGCTTTGTGCAGTGAGTGGAGTCAGCGATCTTGCTTCTAGCAGCTGTATGATCCCCACACTCAGCTGCTTTCCAGTGCAGGGCACAGATGAAAGTCCTAAATCCTGCAATCCAAGAAGCAAAATAAAAGGGAGGTGTGGCCCTACAGAAGGACTCTTGACATTTTCAGAGAGGGAAAATGCTCTGATATTGGGCAGATTCAATTATTATCAGCGTCTTAATGTTCACTTAAGGCATTTCTGTAATGATGGAGACATAGGTAATTTAGTTTGTTGACGGATGCCCATTGGACCCTTTTTATGTTCCTGGGCATGTCAATAAATCTGTAGATTATTACTCCCTTGTAAGAATGGGCTTTAGAGCAAGACTGTTGGTGAAGTGGAGCATAGGTGGTGGGAAAATCCTTCTGCCTAGATACAACATCTCTGCATTAATATGACACCTGGTACCACGTCCAAAAAGGTTCTACTTCCATTTTGGGTAGAAATCAACACAGAGAAAGAAAGGGTGGTTTGCTTTGAGCATTTGTAAATGACACAGGTACCCAGCCTCCTACTGTGAATTTTTTTTATTTTATCATTTTGTTTTATCTTATCAATGTACACATATTTTTGTTCTTTCTCCTAAAATAGCTAAAATTACATGAGCAGAATTTTGGCATATGAATAGATCCCAAAGAATGCAATAATTGGTAGTTTTAGTCTTAATTATTAAACTGGCTTCCAAGAGCAGAGAAACTGTCTCTTGTGCATAGTAGGTTATTAAACATTTGTCAAATCAGATTGTATTGAACCCATTTGGTGCACTAAGATGGCTTCTCCCAGGGAATAGTAAATAACCTGGCATAGCACGTGATATTTTACATGTAATCCACTAATGAACTGCCAGAGATTTCCAGAAAATTACCCTAAAAATTTTCCCTCTTGGCACATGAGCTGCTATATTCTTACTATTTTAATAGAAATGTATCCTTTTGGTGAAATTGCTATGCATTTAGGCTAAAGCTGAAGACAGAAATAAAGAATCAGGAAGGTAAAATGACTAGCTTATATCTACAAGAGCTAACATCTAAAATGATTTCTAAAAATGCTTTGTAGTTCAATTTCTTTCCTAAAGCAATGTGTTTTCAACATCACAGTGTAAATGTTACTAAAAGGTTTCAGTTTTGTATTGGTTTGAAGATGCTGGGGAGAGCTGGTCAGGGTAGCCTGCACAGGATGCTGGGGAGACCTGGCCAGGGTAGCCTGCACAGGCTTCCCTTTGCATGGAAAAGAGGTTTTTTTCTTTTTTCACATAAATTAGATACAGCAATTATAACTCAGACATCCCAGGTCTTTTACAAAGTTGAACCTGAATTGTGTGGAGAAACTTAAGCCTTTAGGAATTTTTCGAGAGGGATTTTAATTTCCTTGGATGCTTGGCAAATCACCACATATGATTGTAAAAGCTGTTAGGATGCCTGTTGTAATATACAATTGAAATAGTATCTGTTTGGGAATTAAGGGATGAAACAGGATTGAATATCACTCGTCAAGCAAATTGTTTTCTAGGTCATTTTTAAAACAACAATATTCTTTCAGGGGCTGGTATGCTATTTTTTTAGGGGAGAGATGACATTTAGGGGTTTTTGAAAACTAAACAGAAATGGAGAAATGTAAAAGAAAGATAGTGGGGGAGCATCTATGGCAGTCAGAACATGGGGACTCTTCTTTCAGAAGAAAGAGGGCAACTTCCTTTTTTATACTCCTCCCATACCAGGTTTGAAATTATACAGTAGGGAATATTTGTTCAGAGTCAAACCAGAATCCAAAATAGTTCATCCTTATGTTGCCTTTAAAGTATTGTAGGAAAAAAACCCTGCATAATTAATATAAGTTAGTTATTCTGTCTTGCCTAGTGGGATATGTAGTTTATAATTTTCTCCTAAATTTTTATGGGGCCCTGTTTGAGGACACCCAGCCTCAGCAACTCCCAACTCTCAGTAGATAATAAAAATAGAGAGATAAAAATTTCTTCCTTTAGAAAGAATGCCAATGGTGCCTTATAACCCATTAGGACACATACACACATACACAAATGCATTTATCTCCAGAAATTCATTCTTTCAAATGTCAAATATTAGTCTCGATTTATTTCTTTTTCTTCTTTTCTATGTAATTTTACTTTTATTTCTTTTAAATCACTTTTTAGGATATCAATTCCTTTTCTGGGTTTCTGCCTTTTGTAGTACATTTCGATTTCAATTTTTTAAATTGTGTTTTTTATTTTCTGTTCAGTTTACCGATTATTATTTTTAAAGTCTGGGTATTTCCAATAAAGGTAGAAGGAAGAAACACACTCTCACAACATTGTACACGGTCAAAGATTAAATGGATAAAGAGAGGTGGGGGGGCAAGGAGAGAAAATGACGGTCCAGTAAAAGGCTTTTTAGCAAATCATACTGAATCTCATTAATAAAGAATACATCCACTAACGCTATACAATCAATCTCCCACGTGCATTAGTGATGTCTAGTCCAATTCAGGTAGATAAATTGTTCTCTAAGCGTCCGTTGGCTGTCACTCAAATCACAATACCGATAATACATGTCGTGCTGAAATGTCTCCTGATTCATGATGAAAGTTTGCAGAGGGTTAAACTGGACTGAACAGGGAAGGGAGAAGAATGATGTCTTTCTGAATGAAGACCACCACCAACTGCCAAAAAAAAGTGGACTGTTACCTGGGGAGATAAGCAATGGACAAGGATGCTGTGTACCAATCTGTTATGAAAAAAAAAAAAAGAAAGAAAGAAAGAAAAACTAGCAGGGAATAAACCAACTACACACCAGGACAAAAGGGCCAGCTAAAAAGAAAATAGGAAAAACAGAGTCAATAGAGAACTTGCAAAGATGGATGAGAACAGTACTCTTGTGTAGAGCTATCCATCAAGGGGAGAATCGTAGGCCTGAGACAAAGAGTATCAAGGGGAAGAGGAAACCATCAAACTAAATATTTCCAGGAATATTTTTTAATTACCGCATCTTAGCCTGGTTTCTGACAAGGAACAAACAATTCCATTTACTGGTGGGCACCATGAGTATTATCTTTCCCAAAGGCTGGCTATCAGAAGCTGTTATGGTCAGAAACTGGTAATTTTTTTAAAGGCACAATGTGATGCTCCTTTGTGAGATTCTGGTTGCAGTTGCACCCCAAGATTTTTCTAAAGAAGTCGGTTTCACACACGACCGGAAAATAAAGCACCTGCTTCTGAGCCGATAGTTGAAGTATTCTAGCCCTTCTTACAAGATTAGACGTCTCCCAGGAGATAGGGTGGATGTAAGCGAGCATTTTGAAATGAGGTGAAAACACTAAGCCTGTGTGGTTAGATGATTGCATTAAAGTAGAGGAATGAAAGATTAGGATGGTATTGGGTTTTAGGGAGGAATGGGGCCTGTGGATTTGTCATTAATGCAGTGACCCTATCTATCCAACTCGTTCCATTTCAATGTGACTTAGAATTCTGAAAAGAAGTCGGCTTAAAGGTGTCAACACGGCCCCCTGTATAAGCTGCCTTCAGCAAAGGACTTCTATCTTTAATTCAACACAATTGGCCATCTTGGTTTTGAGACAGTCTGTGATTTAGTTAACATGAAAACAGAATGACCTCTGTCACCCCAGAGTTGAATGAGGAGTTCAGCTCAGACTGGACGGTGTGTGTGAACAATTGTAGGAATGATAACCTGGGAGCAAAATGAAGTGACCCCAGTGAACACACGCAAGAGTCATCAAATCCCTCGGTCCGCCGCCTGCTCTTCCCTTAGACAAGTGTACGCGTTTTTATTTTTTAATGATGTGCTTTAATAATGTATACATGTTACGTGACTTCAGTCACGCAGATGAAACGGTTTTTTAATGAAAGGCTTATAATGATCAACCTGATAGAGCGCAGCAAAACTACCTCTGTGCGCCAACCAGCAGCTCTCATTAGTTGCTGATAAGAAACAACATGATGCTGGCAGGCAGGAAACAGTATGGAATAGATGCATTCACTAATTCTGACCTTGTGAGCCGTCGATTTAGTTAATAAAAACCTCATACTTTCACTACATGAACCACAGAGCTATTACTGAGGATGGAAATGTATGATCTTCTTATAAAAAATTTTTCTCAGGTGAAGATTGGGATGCAATTTATTCCTGATGTGAATAAAACAGTCACTAAGATACTTGATGCATGTAATTATTAGGTGTTTGAAATTGGGCCTGAATATCTCAAAATCAACATTTTATTTTGCTGTGCATTGTATTTATGTCTGAACTTTGGAGAAAAAGAGAGTCTCCCTCACCTCTTTCAAATTCATTAAGAGAGATGGGAAAAACAATGAACTAAGAATAATGTTATTTTGCATTAAAAATGATAGCAGGACAATGGATTAATTAAAATTAACATTTCAATCAAATTATTTTTCTTTTCAGATGTAAAAACTTCAAATTAATCCACCAGGTCATTTGCACACCTCCTCTAAATGATCTCCAGCTTGAATTTGTATAATTCAGGCTCTAATTATCATTTCTGGGCAAAGCATACAACCACATAGATAATACAGCATACCACTTTTGTACCATAAGAAGAATCCACCATTTATGTAGATTATAAATTAGCATAGATGTTTTTTAAATTTTTCACCATTGACTTCTGAGACCAGGAGTTCCAGAGTTGTGTGCCCTATTATTATTTTGCCAAGTCCTTACATTTAAATATATGCACTGTAAATTAATTAATGCATTGTCAGCCAATGAACTTACTTATATTTGTCTAAACTACAATTAAATCAACTTGAATGCTTTAGAATCCCCTCAGATTATAATTTCCTCTTTTTCATTTACTTCAGTCATCTTTATCCTGTTACCTTCTGCTACTATTACTGACTTAGCTCCCCAAAACCAAAGCATGAATTGGGAAAATTTGATATATATATAGTAAAGAGAAAAGTAAAAATGAAGAATGGAGGTCAGCAATGTTTAACCCCATCCCTAACAAGCCAGACTCAGTTCCCTTCTTCTCTAGTCTCTGAACTTAACGCATTTTCCTAATATTTGTTGGGAGAAATCATTCAAGAAATCTTTGCAGTTTCACGAAGTTAAAAAAAAAAATTGAGTCTATTTCCATCCTACTAAAAGTAGCATGTCTAAACTGGCATTTAATCATTGCTTTTCTAGAAGTCAAACTTTTGGCAACCTCAACTGTAGAAATCATTTAATCAGACAGTTTTCATAGAAAGTAGACAGATACATGTAAGAGGTTTAGCAAATTAGTGTCTACAGAGTGGCCATGTCCTCTCCCACCGCTGAGGCAATGAGGCGTGTCTCTACCATAGCTACGAGATAAGGAATCGGGCAGCTCAAGATACAGGCACCTGTCAGCCTGGTTTGTTTCAAACTAGTCAACTTGGTGTATCAAAATTTTCATTGTTATTTTAGTCCTGGGAGTTAAAGAGAGAGAAAGAGACTCTGTGTGTGTGTGTGTGTGTGTGTGTTTGATTCACTGATGTTTGATGGATTATTCACAGAGCATTTCTCACCAGGAATTTATCCAACAAGTAAGAGCACTTTGGTTATTAAATTGAGGTCTCATGTTAGAGGCCATTAAGCAAATTATTTAGTGCATTCTGCTTTAGAAGGCAAGGGCACCAGTACAGTATATTATAACTGGCTAATTTTGTGCTGCAATTAAATTCTTGACACACACTTGGAACAGGAAACTTAATGTGAAGGGGAAAATTAAAAAGGGCTTTCACTGTCAAGTTTCTGTTTGGAAGTAGAATTTTCTAAGTGGTCCATATAATACATTCAGAAATACACATTTTGCACCATATAGAAGGATGAAAATTACCTGTTGTGTAGAGAATATTAAAAGTGTTTTTACATTCAACTCAGAATTTTATACAACTAATAGTTTTATTATAATAGATTTTTAGCAGACGTTTTATTTTATTTTATTTTATTTTAGACAGAGTCTCAGTCTTTTGCCTTGGGTAGAGTGCCGTGGCATCATAACTCACAGCAACCTCAAACTCTTGAGCTTAAGCAATCCTATTGCCTCAGCCTCTGGAGTACTTGGGACTACAGATGTGTGCTATTACCCTGGACATAGTGTTTCTACTTTTAGTACAGAGGGGGTCTTGCCTTTCCTCAGGCTGTTTTCAAACTCCTGTGCTGGAAA